CCCTGCGCGCGCGCGGGCCACCACACCCACCAAACGCAGAGTTCACCCGTAAGACCATCACCCCGATGGCGCCGCGCCTGCTCGACGCGATTGCCGTGCTGGTGGCCATCCCGGTGGACTTCGAGTCTCTCTCGGCCTGGGGTCAGGCCCTGATCAAGCTCTGCGTCCGGTCCATGAACACCGTTTCCAACCTCTGCTACGAGCATGGTGCGCACCCCGCCGGGGTCCTGGGCCTCTGTCACATCTGCTCGGTCCTCTGCTGGCCCGGTTCCGCCGCCCCGCCCCGCCCCGCCCCCGCCCCCGCCCCCGCCCCCGCCCCCCCTCCCCCCCTTCTCACACCGCTCCCCCTCTCCCATGTGTCGTCGCTGGCCCCCACAGACGACCACGGTGCCCTGGTGTCCGAGGTGCCCGGCTTCCTGGAGCGCCTGTACAAGATTCTGGCCCTGTCGCCGGGGTACTTCGGCCAGCATCAGACCCTGCGCGCGCCGCTGCTCGGTGGGGCCTGCTCGGTCCTGGCCAACATGCTCTTTGCCGATGAGGCGCTGCAGGCGCGTCTGGTCGGCCAGGCCGGGGCCGCCCCCCTGTCGGCGGACCTGCCGACCAACATCTTCCCTCTGCTGCTGGAGCACCTCCGCCATGCGACCAGCACCTCGTTGAATGCCATCAGCACGGTCATCCAGAATCTGCTGGAGACCGATGAGGGGGCGGCCGCCTTCCTGGAAGCCGGCGGCCTGGAGGCCGCCATCGACATGGCCACCGGGTCGCTGGACCGGGCCAAGGCCGCCACCGAGGCCGACCAGCGTGCCGAGCTGCTGAGCATGGCCGAGCTGGCCTTCGGCTCGCTGGCGGCCCTGGTGTCGGATGAGCGCTTCCACCGGCCGGTGTACCAGCGCGGCCTGGTTGACCGCATGGTCCGGGTCATCGAGGACCCGGAGCTGGAGCATGTCATCATCAAGCGCAGCATCGCCAAGACCGTGGCCATCATCCTGTCCAACGACGAGAACATGCGGTCCATGTTCGAGGAGCGCAGCCTCGACCGGTTCTCCCGGTGGATCGAGGGCAGCACCGACATCGAGGTCAAGGCGTATGCCACCTTCTGTGTGTCGAATCTGGCGCGGAGTGGTATGTGCACGCGAGCATGCCTGTGTTTGTTGGTTTATTTGTCTGCTTCTCTCTCTCTGTCTCTGTTTCCCTTCCTTGGTCTCCCTTTCTTCCTCTCTCTCTCTCCCTCCCTCCCTCCCTCTCTCTCTCTCTCTCTCCCTCCCTCCCTCCTCTCTCCATCTCTCTCCCTCCCTCCACTCAATCAACTCCGTGCATTAACCTCGCCATCTCGCCCACGTGGGAAAATGTATACACCCTCGCAGATGACTACGCCTCGGCCGTCATGGCGCACGATGGCCTGATTCGCACGGTGTTCAGCTTCCTGCGCGCCGATCTGGCCCTCGATGCCAGTGGCAACTACAACACCCTGCCCGGGGTGGCGGAGCTGGCCGAGGCGGCCCGGCGCCAGGCCGAGGCCCGGCAGTCCGAGGACCCGGAGCTGGCCGAGGCTGAGGCCAACCTGACTGCCACGCGTCTGGTCTCGGCAGCGCTCAGCATCTTCCGCAACATCGTCCTCCTGCCGGAGAACAAGGCCAAGCTCCGCCGCTGCCTGCGTCCGGAGTCGGGCACCGCCGCTGCCGAGGCCCCGACGACCGACTGTGGGGATCTCCTGCGAGAGCTCCTTCGGCTGGTGGTGCACTCCCAGTCGACGGTGAGCTTTGTGTCGGTCATCATCTTGAAGAACATGCTGGTGGGCAATGGTATGCGGTTTTCCACCCCCCCCCCCCTCTCTCTCTCTCCCCTTGCCCTCCCCCCTCTTTCCCTCGTCCCACACACCATGAGCCTCACGAAGCTTTCTCTAACATCCCCCTCTTCTCCGAGCGCAGAGGAGAATGGCCTTTGGTTCGTCGGCAAAACCGAGAACGCCGACGGCGTCCGGGCTGATGTCGATGCCATTGCTCTGCTGCAGCGCCTGCGCGAGAGCAAGCACGACGGCATCCGCACCGAGGCCGCCCGTATCCTGGTGGTCCTCAGCCGCCTGGGCAACCCCGACATCGCGGAGTACATCTTCGGCCCGGCCACCGACACCACCGACATCAACCCACCCACCTACGGGTACCCCCTGTTTGCGGAGATCGCCAGCTCGCCGCACAGCATCATCCGCTCCGAGGCGCTGGAGGTGATTGAGATGATCAACAAGTCCGGTGGTGCGTCCCGGCCCTGTCTTTCGGCCCTGTCTTTCGCCCCCCCCCCCCCCCCCC